CCAGGCTCAACGATGAATCCAGGATCACACCCAAGCTGCGAACCTGCGCCTTCAAGGGGAGTGCGACCCCATCCAGCACAGGCTGTAACCCTATACCCTGTTCAGCCTTGCGACTGACCAGGAGTACCTCTGTCTTGTCTGGATTCAATTTCAATTTGTTCGCCCTCATCCAGACCGTTACAGCGGCCAGGCACCGGTTCAGGACCTCGACAGCCTCCTTAGTAGCAGGTGGAAAGGAGTGACAGAGTTGGACATCATCTGCGTACAGATGACACCGCACCCCGAAACTCCGGATGATCTCACCCAGCGGCTTCATGTAGATGTTAAACAGCATGGGGGACAGTATAGAGCCCTGTGGAACCCCGCAGGTCAAAGGCTGTGGTGTTGAACAGGTGTCCCCCAATAACACCTTCTGGGTGCGGCCCTCCAGAAATGACTGGAGCCACTGCAGAACAGTGCCCCCAAGACCCATTTCCGCAAGGCGCCCCAGAAGGATACCGTGGTCGACGGTATCGAAGGCCGCTGAGAGGTCCAGGAGCACCAACAGGGACACACTCCCCCTGTCTAGCTCCCGGTGCAGATCATCCACTAAGGCGACCAAGACCGTCTCAGTTCCATGTCCCGGTCTGAAACCAGACTGTGCCGAATCCCGATAATCCGTGTCTCTCAAGAATACCTGGAGTTGTGAGGCCACCACGCTTTCCATGACTTTGCCCAAAAAGGGGAGATTGGAAACAGGCCGAAAGTTGTCAAATTTAGTGGGGTCCAATGATGGTTTCTTCAACAGCGGTTTTATAATAGCTTGTTTTAAGCTCGCTGGAATTTTGCCTTCCCGAAGGGAGGCATTAACCACCACCGTTACCCACTCAGCCAATCCCCCTCTGGCCTCCTTCATTTTATACAGCTCCTGTAGAAGGTCTTAAGAATATACTCATGCTGAAATATGCCAAGGAATTTTCACAAACAAAGCAACAATCTCTTAAGCGTTTTGATATCTGTTTCTAGTTTATTTTGAGTGTGGTCTATTATCCTATATGTCTAAGACCATATAATCCCATGCAGGTCTAACTGATCTCTAAGAACTTCAGACGAGATCCTTCTATAAATCTTCATTGAATGACTCTGAGTTCAACTTCCTGCAGTGCAATCTTCCTCCTTTCCAGCCTTACATCTTACCACAACTTATTATCTTTTCTGATGAGCCATGTCTACTCATGATACACCCTACAGGTGCCATGGATTGTGAGAGATTATGAATGTATTTTCTAGATACCATGGACTGCCAAAAGGACAAATGAGAGGAAATCAACCCTGAACTTTCCCTACAAGCCAAGATGACTAAACTGAAGCTGAGAAGACATGATATGCTCAAGACAGAAATGCTTGGCAAAGTAGAAGGCATCAGGAAAAGAGGAACTAGCCCTCAAATCATTTTGCTGTTGTTTTTCTTTTCTTTTTTTTTCTTTTCTGGGAGAGATGCATGTCATCCCTGGAGACTAGGACTCAGAGCAATGGGTTCAAATCACAGGAAACACAAATATGATGGCAAACAAGAAAAACAGCAGACCTCACCTCTGAGGAAGCTTGCCATAGATGCAAGGGAAACGTCAGGAGAAATGCTTCTAGAACATGGCCATATAGCCCGAAAAAACCCACAAGAACTGAAGAAAAACCCTATTTAGAACCTACCACAGCAGTTAATCATGGGCAATAATCCAGTGTAGACACAAAAGAGCAGTGGTGGGCAAGATTATTGTCAGATGTGAGATTTGACCATGCAAATACTGCACAAATAATTCAATCTAAGGGGTATCAACAACAAAGGAAGTATAAAGCTAGGCCTAAATTCTATTGGTAATTCCAAGTAGAAGGAACAAACTAGAGGGAGTACAGAAGTGTTGACACTCCACTCCACAAGTGATTAAGTTTGTTTACTTTGCCTGGTACTAATAATAAGATTCCAGCTGGAATGTTTATTAAAATGTTTTCTAAAACCCCATTATTCTGTCTCTGATGCCAAACTCACCTCTTCCAAATACTCATACATCATAGCCTTGACGGCCTGGATGTTGGTGGCATCCATCATCAGTGTGATGGTTTTCCCCTTCCTGATCTTCACAACCCCTCGGAAGACTTGTGGGTTGTTGTAGCAGACTGCCAAAGTGGCAATGGCCATTACCTGGAAGCAAGAAAGGAGAAAGAAATCACATAGAAGGATTCTTATTTAATTATGGCTCAAAGATTACAAAAATATTTGTGTATGCCTTCAAGTCTTATGGTGACCCCATGAATTTCACAAGGGCAAAAAAAATACTCAGAGGTGGTTTCATAGTTGGAAGAAACCACAAAGGCCATCCAGTCCAACCTCCTGCTATGCACAAAGTCAAAACAACCGACAGACAAACAAGGCATAGCAAATACTTTGGCTACATTTCAGATGAAGGTTTCTCATTGCTTTCCTCATTAAGAGCCACATCTTAATGAGGAAAGCAATGAGAAACCTTCATCTGTTTAGCTGGTATTGCAACACCTGACATCCACCGGGAAGTAGCAACCGATAGTGAAAGGACCAAGGCAGTGACATCCAGCTCAACCCCTGTTTGGGTATCAGCCAGCGCATCAATGACTTAAATCAAGAAATAGTTTTCTAAGATCTACAGAGACACTCGCTGGAACACCTCAGCAAGTGAGAGTCCAAAAATGGCAGGCTCAAACCCAGAACCTCAATCAATGGCTAATACCAAATGAGAGACTCCCCCCTGGGCACACAGAAAACTGGGTGACTTCGAAGGCACTGAACAGACTTCACTCTGGCACCACGAGATGCAGAGCCAACCTCAAGAAATGGGGCTACAAAGTGGAATCCATGACATGCGAGTGTGGAGAAGAGCAAACTACAGACCATCTGCTGCAATGCAACCTGAGCCCTGCTACATGCACAAGGGAGGACCTTCTTATAGTAACACCAGCGGTGCTCCAAGTGGCCAGCTACTGGTCAAATGACATTTAATCAATTACCAAGCTTGCAAACTTTGTGTTTTGTTTGTTTGTTTGTTAAAAATGCAATACAACTGTTCGATTTGCTCCTGACATGATAAATAAATAAATATTGCTTTCCTCTGAAACATAGACAAAAGCTATGTCTACCCGAGAACAAACTAGACCTGATTGTGTGTTCCTGCAAGACATGATCGTGTGTTCCTGCATGGATGACTGCTGTAGTCTCTTCGAATTCTATGATTCAATGATTCTGGTTAAAACTATGGTCCTAGTTAACTTCCAAATAGGATCTGGTGCCTGCAGGCATGTACATTCTCTTCAAACTACAAGAAAGGAGATTCTATCTGAACATGAGGAAGAACTTCCTGACTGTGAGAGCCGTTCAGCAGTGGAACTCTCTGCCCCGGAGTGTGGTGGATATTCCTTCTTTGAAAGCTTTTAAACAGAGGCTGGATGGCCATCTGTCAGGGGTGATTTGAATGCAATATTCCTGCTTTTTGGCAGGGGGTTGGACTGGATGGCCTATGAGGTCTCTTCCAACTTTGATTCTATGATTCTATGATCAATTTAAACTATTTCCAGTTTCACTTATTAAATTATTCAGCCCATCTAGGCTCAAATACCTTAAAGACATGAGGTCCCATCTGATCTCAGAATATAAGCAGGGTCAGCCCTGGTTAAACTGCATTATATGAGTCTACACTAACAATCTACGAACAAGTTATGAGCAAGGCAAACATTCAATGCTAAGCTGACAAAGTTGTTGTGATTGTTGATTCTAACCCACACTGCTGGATGGATATGCCTCTCCAGTGACAGGATGAATCTAAGAAATTCGTTGACTGTTTTATTCTACACAATTATTGCACAATAATAATTCCATTTTAATGGGAATTCTAGGAATCTGAATTCTGGGATTTTCAGCCAGAGATCAGTATCGCTTATACAAACTATAAGACCCAGGCTTCTATAAGAGAGGGACATAGTAGTTAAGAAAGGAATCTGAAGGCCATAGCTATGTCATAGAATCATAGAATCATAGATTTGGAAGAAGCCTCATGGGTTTCTGACAGCCCTATTCTGCCAAGAAGCAGGAAAATCACATTCAATGCACCCTGACAGATGGCCTTCCAGCCTCAGTTTAAAAGCCTCCAAAGAAGGAGCCTCTACCACACTCTGGGGCAGAGAGTTCCATTGCTGAACAGCTCTCACCATCAGGAAGTTCTTCCTCATGTTCAGATGGAATCTTCTTTCTTGTAATTTGAAACCATTGTTCTGCATCCAGGTCTCCAGGGCAACAGAAAACAAGCTTGCTCCCTCCTCCCTATGACTTCCCCTCACATATTTATACATGGCCCTCATCATGTCCCCTTTCAGCCTCCTCTTCTGAAAGCTAAACATGCCCAGCTCTTTAAGTTGCTCCTCATAGGGCTTGTTCTCCAGACCCTTGATAATTTGAGTCACCCTTCTCTGGTCACATTCCAGCTTGTCAATATCTCTCTTCAATTGTGGTGCCCAGAATTGGATACAGTGTGATTCTAGGTGTGGTCTGACCCAGGCAGAATGGAGGGGTAGCATGACTTCCCTGGATCTAGACACTATACTCCTGTTGACGCTGGCCAAAATCCTGTTGGCTTTTTTTGCTGCCACATCCCATTGTTGGCTCATACTTAACTTGTTGTGAAAAGACTCATGAAATGCCCTTCCAAGAGGCAAAGACTTTACAAGACTAGGCAACCTACCTGGGCGATGGCATAGAAGTTGAATATACTCTGGTTTTTCACTCGGGACAAGAATGTCAAGATGTTGGGGACGTGATGCAGGGCATTGATGATCAGCTCGTTCATACACTGGACAGCCTTGTCGATGTTGTCAGGCTTGGATAGATCTGATAACTTCTTTACATATTTGCTCCACACCTGGGAACATTTCAAGAGTTACACAAGGCTACCAAAAAGGACATTTTGCGGTGCCATGCCTATAAGTCTCCCACTCCACCCATTCCCTGAAAAGACACTAAAACAGGCATTCAGTCATTACAGTTTGCACAAATCATTATTGCATTGGGATGACACTGAAATACAACACCGCCTGAGCTCTGTGAATGCAGCATTTTTCCGAATGAAGCAGAGTGTTTGAGGACCGGAACATCTGTAGGGATACCAAGGGGCTTGTTTATAAAACTATTGTCCTCCCAACCCTGCTATACGCCTGCGAGACATGGACTGTCTAGAGATGTCACATGCAACTCCTAGAACGATTCGATCAGCGCTGCCTCTGGAAAATCCTGCAAATCTCTTGGGAAGACAAGCGGACAATTGTCAGCATGCTGGAAGAAGCAAAGACCACCAGCACTGAAGCGATGGTCCTCCGCCATCAACTCCGCTGGACCGGCCACATTGTCCGGATGCCCGACCACCATCTCCCAAAGTAGTTGCTCTACTCTGAACTCAAGAATGGAAAACGGAATGTTTTCCATTGGTGGGCAGGAAAAGAGATTTAAAGATGAGCTCAAAGCCAACCTTAAAAATTCTGGCATAGACACTGAGAACTGGGAAGCTCTGGCCCTTGAGTGCTCCAGGTGGAGGTCAGCTGTGACCGGCAGTGCTGTAGAATTTGAAGAGGCATGAATGGAGAGCGAAAGAAAGAAAAGTGCCAAGAGGAAGAAGGCGCATCAAGCCAACCTCGACCGGGACCGCCTTCCACCTGGAAACCAATGACCTCACTGCAGAAGAACATGCAGGTCAAGAATAGGGCTCCACAGTCACCTACGGACCCACCGCCAATACACTGGTCCTGGAAGACTATCCTACTCGGACAACAAGGAATCATCTAAGTAGGTAAGGGTTGCTGTGAGTTTTCCAGCTGTATGGCCATGTTCCAGAAGCATACTCTCCTGACGTTTCACCCACATCTTATTGTTGTATTGCTCATGTGCCTTCAAGCTGAGTTATCTGGCCATCAACACAGGCATTTAAATCTAGGGCCAGGCCACAGCATTGCTGCTTCAGACCAGCCCCAGATCCAGCATTCGTGTCTACATACTCTGCACTCAAAACTCAGCAGCGGCAGAACAGAATCCATTATGTTTGGCCAGTCAAATCTAATTTGGCCCCACTGGATCATTCTCTTTCCTCTGCTGTTGTTTGTCACTTTAGCAGTGGCCATGGAGCCCTCCTCCCTTTTTCCCCCTTTCGATATCAACAATGGTACCTGGCAATAATTAGGAGCTCTATAGAACTCTGTAGCTACAGCCATGGTGACAAAAAAACAACAACAACAACAACAACCCAAGTAATTTCCTTCCCTCTTTCCCCGGAACTGCAGAAGAGTGCATGGCAGCAGTGGATTGTGTGGATAGGTCCAAGTGTCCATATCAATCCCAAAGTGCAGCTGTGGTCCTTCCCTAGCACGCGTGTCATTTGCCCACCTTCCCTACTATCTTCCCACTCTCATTTTTCTTACCTCTTCGGGCCAAAATTCTCTGCCCACAAGCTGGTCTTCACAGTAATCCCGGATAATGTTGGTTTTCTGCAGGAAAAGCCCCAAGGAAAGCACGAGCTCCACGTCCTGACCAATGACAGGGTCTTCCAGTTTAGATGCAGAGAAGATTCGGGAGAGGCCAACGAATGCCAGGGCGGTGCCATAGTAGCAGTACTACAGAGGTTAAAAACCACAAAATTTTAGGGCAGGGCTGGGGAAAGTGTGACTTACAGATGTGTATGAAGCTGATAAAAATAGCCTCGTTGTATGTGGGAAGGGACACATTTTTAAGGGAGGGGGTAAAAGGACAGAAAAGGATGTAGTTGTGAGGGTCTACTACAGACCTCCAAGACAGACAGAAGAACTGGATGAAGCCTTCCTTGACCAGATGACTGAACATGCAGAAAGAAGAGATATAGTAGTAATGGGGGGTTCAAACTACTCTGTTATTTGTTGGAAAACAAACTTTGCCAAGAGTACAAAGTACAACAAATTCCTCACTTGCCTTGCTGACAATTGTATTGTACAGGAGGTAGAGGAGACAACAAGGGGATCAGCTATTCTGGATCTGTTCCTAATAAATGCTAAGGAACTGGTTGTTTATTTATTTATTTCGTATCAACAGCATTGCATTAAATTAGTATAAAACTGATTAAAAATAGGAGCGCAGGTGGCTAAATATCTTTTGACCAAAAACAGGCAACAGCAATGGCATTGTCTGTAGCCTCCAACAATTCTTCCTCTGTACATGAGGCAGGGCACAGTGGACAAGCATATAGATGCAGAGTTGTCTGTTCTGCTCCACAGTCACACAAAGTGTATGATTCTTTTAGGAAGTGCCATTTTGCCAGGTTGTCTTTTGATCTGCCCACTCCACTTCTGAGTCCGTTCAGGGACTTCCAAGTTGCCCATTCTTGGTTTGCCCCTGGAGAAAGACCCTCCTGGGTTGGGGGGGGGGGTGTGTGGATCAGTTGGGATTTTAACTGCCCAGAGGGATACCCTTGCTGTTGCTGGAGGGATGGCAGGAGGAGTGGTAGTTCTCATAAAGCTTTTCCTTGATTTAAGCCTACTGGGAGGAGGCTGGTAGCGATGTAGTGGATGACTTTCACAGTGTTCGAACTTATGTCTCTCACATTTATCAGCAACTTCCCATCGCACATCGGGGGGGGGGGGGGAATCAGGGGGACACAGAAAGAGCCACCTCAAAGACTGAGTAAATACATTCGGGCATCCGCCAGGCAACATTTCTTGTAAACGGCTAATCTTTCCAAACCAGAAAGCATTGCTTTTAAACATTTGAAGGACCTGGTCAATGGAGTGGAAGGGGAAGTGGTGGGAACTTTAGGTGGGAGTGACCATGTGCTCCTGGAGTTTGAGATACAAAGGAAGGGGGAAACTATGAGCCTCATCACACTAGAGAATGAATTCACTTTAAATCTCGTTGCTGCCTCCTGTAGAATTCTGGAGTTTGTAGTTTAGAGAGGAGACTTTAATAGCCTCACTAAACTACAAACCCCAGAATTCTGCAGGAGGCAGAAACTGGATTTAAAGTGGATTCATTCTCTAGTGTGAGACTTTAGGATAGCTGACTTCAGGAAATATAAGGAAATATTGAGGGTGATTCCATGGACAGGAATATTAAAAAGAAGAGAGTTAATGATGGATGGGAGTTTCTTAAAAATGAGATACTGAAAGCACAATTGCAAACAGTGCCAGCAAGGAATTTCTCTTCGTCCTGGAAGTGACTACTGGAGTGAGGCAGGGTTCGGTCCTTGGCCTGGTCCTCTTCAACATCTTTATTAATGGCTTGGATGAAGGTTTAGAGGGCAAGCTTATCAAGTTTGCAGATGACAAGTTTACAGATGACACCAAATTAGGAGGGATGAGGACAGGAACATAATTCAGAACAACCACAACAGATTAGAGTGTTGGGCCAAAACTAACAAAATGAATTTCAACAGGGACAAATGCAAGATACCACACTTAAGGAGAAAAAAATAAAATGCAAAGATACTGCAATACTGTGTCCAATTCTGGGCACCACAATTTAAATGACATTTTGACAAGCTAGAAGATGTCCTAAGGAGGGCAACTAAAAGGATCAAAGGTTTGGAGACCAGGCCCTATGAGGAGCATCTTAAAGAGTTGGGTATGTTTAGCCTGCAGAAGGGAAGGTTGCGGCCCCTTCCACACAGCTGAATAAAATAAAAATAATATTATTATTTTTTGCTTTGGACTGGAATATATGGCAGTGTAGTCTCAGAAAATCCAATTCAAAGCAGATATTGTGGATTTTTCTGCCTTGATATTCTGGGATATATGACCCATAGAGGAGACACAATAGCCATGTATAATATTTGCAGTGATGTCATAAGAAGGAGCAAGCTTGTTTTCTTCTGCCCTGGAAACTAGCACTTGGAGCAATGGCTTCAAACTACAGGAAAGGAGATTCCACCTGAACATTAGGAAGAACTTCCTGACTCAGCTGTTCAGCAGTGGAACTCTCTGCCCTGGAGTGTGGTGGAGGCTCCTTCCTTGGAAGCTTTTAAAACATAGGCTGGATGGCCATCTGTCAGGGGGTGTTTAGATTGTGCTTTTCCTGCATGGCAGTGAGACAAGATGGCACATCTGGTCTCTTCCAACGGTATTATTCTATGATTTTAGAAGAAGCCTTCATGTTGTTTCTAGAAGGTTTGAAATAAATTTACGGAAAGCAGGCCTGACCAGATTCTTTCATTTCAAGTGTCCATGTTAGTCATTCTGAATAAAAAAAAATCTGCTGAAAAGTGTCAAATCACTTTTCTGTTTTGTGACATGGGGATTTCCCCTTAATATCAGCTATGCAATCTTTGTCACCAAATTTTCTCTTCAAGAAATAATGTCTAGGAGGAACATTCTTACCTTGTTAACAGAAGCTAAGTAGTTTTTCTCAGAGAAACTTCTAATCACATTTCCATGATTTATGCCAATGGAGAGGTTTTGACCACCATGAAGATTTTCTGGAGGAAGCCACTTACTGTGTCCCAGTCTTTCATAGATTCCACCTTTCTCTCCAAGAACTCGGCCAATCCAAGACCCACTTTGGGGCAAATGTCAGCAAATACATCCTGATAGACCTTCTCCAGCTTCCGGAACTCCAAGGAGATCTGAGGCACAATGATAACATAGGTTAGTCTTCAAAACAGACCACCAAGGTTTAATTCCAGATTTGAAACCTGAAAGTGTATGAAATCTGCATTTCAAGTTTTTTCAATTAGGATTTTAAATATGGAAAAAAGGGGAAAGCCTAGCAGTCACCTACCAACAGAAATATTGAAGAACGAAAGTGTACTGCAGTTTCATGACGTGTTCAATCAACACAGCAATCCTTCTCATTAGGTCATGAAGGAGGAAGAGGAGGAGGAGGAGGAGGAGATCCACATAGTTAAAGCAATGGTATTCCCTATAGTAACCTATGGATGTGAGAGCTGGGCCATAGGGAAGGCTGAGCAAAGGAAGATAGATGCTTTTGAATTGCGGTGTTGGAAGAAAGTTCTGAAAGTGCCTTGGACCGCAAGAAGATCAAACCAGTCCATACTCCAGGAAATAAAGCTTCGCTGCTCACTGGAGGGAAGGATATTAGAGGCAAAGATGCAGTAATTTGGCCACATCATGAGAAGACAGGAAAACTTGGAGAAGACAATGATGCTGGGGAAAATGGAAGGAAAAAGAAGAGGGGCCAACCAAGGGCAAGATGGATGGATGGTATTCTTGAAGTGATTGGCTTGTCATTTTCTAGGAACTCGGGGTGGCCATAGCCAACAGGGAGCTCTAGCGTGGGCTGGTCCATGAGGTCATGAAGAGTCAGAAGTGACAAAACGAATAAGCAAAAACAACAACAACAACAACAACTTAATTTTTGTACCCTGCCTCCATCTCCCCAAAGGGACTCAGGGCAGCTTACATGTGAGCAAGCTTGAGATTCAACATAGTTAAATTATAACAACAAAATTTATTAAAACATTTCAACAGTATGAAAACAACCACACATAATACAATTCATAGTGAACATCTAATGACCTTCAGTGGTCTGAATAGACAGTTCGGAGCTCAGGTGGGTGGCTGATGCAAATCACTTGCAAAGGATAGGGCTGATGGATAAAGTGCTGAAGGCAGATGACAAGATTAGAAACTGGAGGGTTATGTAAGGAGAGCACTATGTCTCTAAAAGGGAACAGTGGTAATGTGCAAGATCTAATTATGGATAAAATTGGAGGCAAGACTTATCCAGAGAACTATCTAGCCAAAGGCACAGTGGAATATCCACATTTAGTTCTTTCTGAAGGTGGACAGGGTGGGTGCCAGTCTAATCTCTCTGAGGAGAGAGTTCCAGAACCCGGGGGGGGGGCACCACTGAGAAGGCCCTCTCTCTCATCCCCACCAACCATGCTTGTGACGGGTGTGGGAGTGAGAGGAGGGCCTCCCCAGAAGATCTTAGAGGTCGCATAGGGGAAGATACAAAGATAAGCAGGTCCCGAACCATGTAGGGCTTTGTAGGTGTTAACCTGCACCTTGAGTTGAGACCAGAAATTTATCAGCAGCCAGTAATTTACAAAAAGTGAATATTTAACCCCACCCCATATTAGCAACCAACATGCAGAGCATTGTATATTCAATCAAAATTAATACAAGAATAGTGCTGATATTTTAGATCAACTGGTGACTTAAATGATTCCAAGGTAAACGGATGTTAATGGAACTAAAACAAATCTGTGTACTACTCAAAACCAAATGAATGAACCCAACTGTTAATGAATTGAGGTTGATGAGAAAGGACTAATCAGCTGAAATGAAATATATATATAATTCTTTGGAAAAGCTGATTTGGAGAACTAACTGAATTGAATCAGAAACCAGTGAAACTTCATTTTGTTTTGTGAATGGGATGCAACCACATCAACACTATTTTTTCAAGCATTTAGGCTTTTAAGTCTTATATGATGTTATGGCGATATGCAACAAGAGGTTATGTGTTAATGAAAAGATTAAGAACTGCTGACCTAAGATGTTTGCAAATCATATCAGGAATGCAGATCTGCCATCACAAAATTACCACCCACAGCCTATGATGCTAGACCTTCATTGGGCAGTGGTTACTCAGGACCCCATAATGCTGGGAAGAAGGTTCTTCTGAATGTTTCCTGCTAGGCACTGGATCATGAGGATGGCATTTCCACCAAGTTTGAGTCCCAGAACCTTTCCCTGATATCAAAATAATTTTTTTGCAAAGGCAATGTTTGTTTCTAAGTGTTCCAAAAATGCTCTTGAAAGGGCAGTAACGTTTCCAAAAACTTTGAGAATGTCCCCATGCCCACTGGAGGGTGTTTGCGAGGTACAAAATTTTGATATTAGGGGAAAGAAATGGCTGCAATGCTCAAAGGAGTCCTGGACAGGTATTAAATGTAACCCTCTAGTTTTTCATTTGCCCACCTTGGTTTATTCAGTCAACAAAATATAGTAACCAACATTTTTTTCTCATATTTACAAATGGAGCAACAAGCAGCTGAGGCCTATTGTTGGAAAGCTGTTTTGACCAGTGAAGACAATTCTGTTTTACTCCCTTTCACCTGTCCCCAGTACATACACATCTAGTGATAGTTGAGGAACATGGAGAACAACAGAATGAAACATAAGCTCAAGATTCAAGTATGGAGGCAGTGGCTCACCGTTGGGAAATCCTCCAGTATTTGCTTGTCCTTGTCATTGCTGCCCATGAATCTCCAGTCAGGCTGATACAGGTAAGAATAGAACTTGTGTAAAATGGGAATCTTGGTCTCCAAGCTAATRGTCATGTCATCCTCCACTGTGTCTAGTGCCCGGAGAACCAAGTAGAAGATGCAAACTGCATGTCTGGTGAAGGCAAGAAGTGAGAAGATTATTTGTGACTTGGATGCTAATAATGAATACTGAGTGTTGTAGGCAATGTTTAAGTTTACTGGTTTCATTAAGAATGACCAGCAAGCAGGGGGAAAGTCCTCTGAAATGACTCTATGTTACTCTTGGGACAGAAGTCATTCATTTCAACAGGGCTGCTGTTATCCATTCTTTCCTGTATTCGTATGAATTCTGGACATATAGCCTTGCAGATAAAGGGATTATTCTCTATTTCTTGCCTTTAAAAATGCTTAGTGACCTTCAGTGTTTCAAATTTTTAGCTGCAAAGGAAGACTGGCAAATCTCTTCTGAACAAAACTTGCAGAGAAAATCCTGTCATAGGTTCACCTTAGGGCTGGCTAAGGTCAGAAACAACTTGAAGGCATTTAACATCAACAGTGAGTTTTAAATGTGTTTTATACCTTTTAAATCTTTTTTTTWWAAAAAACTGTTATTTAATTATCTTTAACTTTATACAATAAGGTTTTAAACTTAAAGTTGTTTTCAATTACTGTGAGCTATCGTGGCACCCATCTCAGCACCCATATTCAATGCAAGATGATACATTGAGCTTCCAAGCTCATCAGCAGCCAGAACCTCAGTCTTCCAAGTCCCAAGTTGGTACGCTAATCATTGTGCCGCTTTGACTCTGCTATGTCTCAGGTCTACCTTTTTTCTTGCTATCTTTAAAGACTGCAAATCATTGTGTGACAATTAATCATCTTGTTAAGCAACACTAACTAATGTAGCAGGGTGGTGTTTATTTCCTAGTGTTGGTTGCTTTCCAAGAACAGAAGACTGGCCAGTTTATTCCTAGGCATCATTCTGATTTCACATTAATGAACATTAATAGGCTGGCAAGAGAAGTAATAATTCCCCTGAACCTGGAATACCGTGTCCAAATCTGGGCACTGCAATTGAAAGGAGATGTTGACTCTAAGCTGGAATGTGTCCAGAGGAGGGTGACTAAAATGATCAAGGGTCTGGAGAACAAGCCCTATGAGTTGGGCATGTTTAGCCTTCAGAAGAGAAGGCTGAGAGAAGACATGATGATGTCCATGCATAAATATGTGAGGGGAAGCCATAGGGAGGAGTGAGCAAGCTTGTTTTCTGCTGGAGACCAGGAAGTAATGGAACAATGGCTTCAAACTACAGGAAAGGAGTTTCCACCTGAACATTAGGAAGAACTTCCTTACTGTGAGAGTTGTTCAGCAATGGAACTCTCTCTCTGCCCCAGAGTGTGGTGGAGGCTTTTAAACAGAGGCTGGATGGCCATCTGTTTGGGGTGCTTTGAATGCGATTTTCCTTCTCTTAGCAGGGGGTGGACTGGATGGCCCATGAGGTTTCTTCCAGCTCTATGATTTTACTAGCTATACCCGCCACACATTGCTGTGGCCAACCTTCCCTTCCTCTTTCTCTCCTTCTTTCTTTCCCACCTTTCTTCCATTTGTTTCTTTCTTTCTCTCCTTTCTTCCTTCTCTACCTCATCCCTTCCTTCCCCTTCCTTCCCCTTTTTCTTTCCCTTCCTCTTTTCGCCRGTTTTTCCTTCTCTACCTATTCTTGGACTGCAACTCCCAACAGTCCACCTGATTGACCTYTATCTATCACTATCGAATCTATCTTTRTGGAGGATTYCTGGGAGTTGCAGTCCAGGAAAAGGAAATTGGAGATATGCAGAGATTGGAATGCTCTCAAAGAAATCCAAGGAGAAGAAAGCTTGCATCTTGGAAGCAGTGCATTTGGATTATCCTCCTCCTCTAAAGGGCCTGGTCAAGGGGATGCTGGAAGCTGTAGTCCAAAAGAGAGCGTGGAAATGCTGTTGTGTGTTTTGTTTGTTGGGGAAGTCGTTTTTGTGCATGCGCTGTAGCATCCTTTTGCTTTTTTGGCTTTTTAAGTCCCTTTCGCTGTGTTTTTCAGTGTTTTTGTAAGTGATGAGCACTCATTGGCCTGATAGGTGTATTGTGTCCAAATTTGGTGTCAATTCGTCCAGTGCAGGCCCGTAGCCAGGATTTTGTTTTTGGGGGGGGGGGTGAGTTTGTTTCGGGGGGGGGGGACTGAGTCTGAGTGAAAGAGGGTCTACCCTAGCAAACCTTTTGTATCGTTACCCCAATACCCCCATGCATATGGGATATATTGAGCATGGTGATCAGATCATGATATGAATAAACATAACAGTTTAAATAATGCACCAGTAAGGCCTTCTCGCGGACCACCATGAGAATTTCGGGGGGGGGGGGGAAGCCCCCCAAGCCCCCCCGGCTACATGCCTGGTCCAGTGGTTTTTGAGTAATGTTAATCCCACAAACTAACATTACATTTTTATTTATAGACTAGCCATCCCCTGCCATGCATTGCTGCGGCCCGGTCTTTTTATATGTATTTGTGTGTATTTGTGTGTATATGTGGTTATGCCCATGCATTGTAATCTCTCTTTTTTTGTGGCTTTTTAAGTCTCTTCTGCTGTGTTTTCCCATGTTTTTATGAGTGATGGTCACTTGTTGGCCTTATAGGTGTATTGGGTCCAAATTTGGTGTCACTTGGCCCAGTGGTTTTTGAGTTATGTTAATCCCACAAACGAACATTACCTTTTTATTTATATAYATGATTCTATGATTCTATGAACCATMTGGAATTCAGAAACTTTGCCAAGAGTTTTGTTCTTTGAGCCTTTCTGTTYTRTACTCCCTTTAAAAATATTTATATAGTAGACCTGCATATTATGTGAGGGATTTGTCAGATAATTTTTTGTGTAATACAATTTTTCACATATAATTTGGTGCACTATTTTACTGACCGAAATTGAGTAGTCTCCTGGACTTCTGGCTAAAAGCTTACAATATAACTTCACTGGAAAAGTTAGAAAATGCTGAGGGAAAAATTGTCACTAGCGACCACATCAGGTGGACCGATTTGCCCATTGTGCGCCYCTTCACTTCCCTTCACACAATGTACAGGTACATTTGGCTGGGCTTTATGCCAAAAAGGGAGGCGAAGRAGCACATGCCACCGCCATGGCGACACAGGAGTCTTCCCATGTTGCCTTCTTCCAAGGGGGTGAAGCCAGTTGGCGATGCTTCCCCCATAGGATAACGGGGAAGGTAAAGCGGGCAATGCGGGGTGTGGAGTGGCAGTATATAAGAGCACCAACAGAATAAGTTGGTGTTGGGTGATGTGATGGTGTATAGTGAATTGGAGGATTCTGGAGAGAGCTGTGAATACTGTAAATAGCTGCAAATAATAATAATAATAATAATAATAATAATAATAATAATAATAATAATAATAATAATAATGTGATGGGATCACAAGCCAGAAAAGGTTACAGAGAATGAACAAGCGAAACTCCTCTGGGACTTCCAAATTCAGACAGACAGAGTTCTGGAGCACAACACTCCTGACCCCACAATTGTGTTAAAAAACAAAGTATGGATAGGTGACAACAGGATTGCAGAGAAACAACAGGAAAAGCTGACACAATATGAGGATTTAAAGATAGAATAACAAAGACTCTAGCACAAATCAGTCAAGGTGGTCCCAGTGGTGATCGGCACACTGGGTGCAGTGCCTAAAGACCTTGGCCTGCACTTAAACACAATCAGTGCTGACAAAATTACCATCTGCCAGTTGCAGAAGGCCACCTTACTGGGATCTGCACGCATTATTCACCTATACATCACAAAGTCCTAAACACTTGGGAAGTGTCCGACGTGTGATCCAATTCAACAGCCAGCAGAGTGTCTGCTGTGGACTCATCTTGTTGTGCTTCAAATAATAATAATAATAATAATAATAATAATAATAATAATAATAATATCTTCCTGTGGAAAGAAGCTCCTGCATCTGCTGTTTATTCCAAGTATTGCTTATACTATAGACCAGTGATGGGCAACCTTTTGAGCTTGGTGTGTCAAAATTTGCCAAAAACCTGAGCATAACTTGGTGGGATGTCAACTTCGAGAGAGAGAAAACATATTTTTGCAATATTTATAGTTTAAATATTAAATATATTAAAGTAAAAAGTGTATTCTATGCTGAGTTATGGAGTGAACAATGCTCAAATGTGCAGATGTTAAATTTGRAGAGCTTTTACAAATTTAAGGATGGAATTAGATTGGCTCATAAGGTGTACTTCTCTGTATGTGGCCGCATGTGGCCGCGTGTCATCAAAAATAGCCATGCGTGTCAGTGCTGACACGCATGTCATAGGTTCARTATCATGGCTATAGACAGTACTTTAAAACTACTTGGAGTGGTCGAGCTGAGAAACTCTGCTTAAGGCTGAAGAATACATGACATTGACTCACCGCACTTCCCTGTCGAGCATCTGGATTACTAGGGCAGCGCTTCGCCCAGTCTGGTTCAGGTATTTATAGCAGAGACTTTCACTCAGCGCGTCCTACAGCAGGAAAGAGGAGGTAGCATTGGTCTGGGAGTTAGAAGGCAAGGCCAGAAAGGTGATGGCAGAAAAAGACGACAGCAGTGGCGTATACCTGGATATGCTTCAATAGAGACACAGTTACTCTGGAAATGGTGGCCATGAAAAGGAATGAGGAGCACCATGTGCAATCAGAGGTGGCATGCACAGTGGGTGGCACAAGACATTCCACGAGTTTTGTTGCCACACAGAAGTCTGGGAGAGGCACATCTTAATTACGACTCYTGCCAAAGACCACAAAACTATTATAGTCAAAATGGGGCACTGCATGGTGGAAAATCGATAGTGGGTTGCAACAGTAGAAGCCATGTGAAAAGGACTATCCTCTGCAGCCTGAGTATTCACCTTCAAGGTAGCACAGAATGCTCCCAGGAAATGGCRWTGACTTATAAAACCCTCAACGGTTCTGGCCCAGCTCTATGAACTCCCAAGGACCTTAAGATCATCTAGAGAGGCCCTGCTCTCYGTCCCACCGCCATCGCAGTCGCGTTTGGAGGGAATCAGAGACAGGGCCTTCTTGGTGGTGGTCCCTCGGATGTGGAACTTCCTCCCTAATGAGATCAGATCTGCCCCCTCCCTCATGACCTTCCGGAAGAAGCTCAAACCCTGGTTATGGGATATGGGATCAACTGACTGTTTTTAGCTGACGGCAATGGATTGATTTGGAAGACGACGTGAAGCGGCGAACTGTTTTAATGTATTTATAATTGTTTTTAATGTATGCTAAGTTTATATTAAGCTTTGTTTTTATTGTTTGGCACTTAATGTTTTGTATTGTTTGGCACTTAATGGTGCCTGTTGGTAGCCGTCCTGAGTCCCTCTTRGGAGGTGAGAAGGACYGGATAGAAATGCTCCTAATAAATGAAATAAAATAAATAAAATCTTTAAGCATTGTGATATCTTTTTATACAGTCACCTGTAATCTAATAGGTAGGACTCATGGCTGTTAAGTTGGTGTAATTTTCATTTGAAGATGTGTAACTTTCGTTTTAGGTATCCACATTGCCACATTACACTACTGTATTCCAAAATGGTACCGTTTTCCAAGCTCAGGCTCTTCCTGAGTGTTGCAATTTCACTTTAGATGCACAGATGCATACTATGGAATTCTGGAGTCTGCACTTTCGCCTGGTACTAAAGGAACTCTCTGTCTGAGAATTATAAGTACTTCTGGAAAAACTACAAATTCTAGGAATCCATAGGGTCAAAGTGAAATGTTCACCTTTGGCAACAAATAACTAGTAATTAGAGAATGATGAAAAGATAAAATATCATAAGCAATCTAGACTGGAATGTTTCTCTATTGCTGKTGGTAGTACTCTACATTAAGCAATAAGTAGTTGTAACTTCACATTTTAAATACAGCAGATGGTGTTGTTTCTAAGATCTTATGGTAGATTAATATAGAAATAAATGGCACGTACAGAGCCATAGTTTGCGCGGAGGATGCACATGCCCTTTAATATTTCTGAAACAGCGCACTCCAACATTTAGTGGAAGGCACTGTTTGGGTCTTCAAGCTTAAGTCTGAMTCAACACTYCTTTGTCTGCCATCTGGATTTTT